AAAAGGATTTGGAGTCTCTGTACACAGAGAGCTGTTACCCTTCCCTTTATAGTTATGACAATATACATTACTCATTTATAGTCGTACATACCGTAACGTTCCCTAGTGCCCTTTAATGTAGTTCTGTTTTGAACAGCACCATGTTAAAGTGCACTAAGGAACCTTTCGTGCGCACCAGCAGGGTCTACATCAGTGGTTCTCCAACTATTGTACTGGTGACCCCTTTCACATAGCAAGTCTCTGAGTGTGACCCCCCTTATAAATTAAAAATACTTCTTTATATATTTAACACCATTATAAATGCTGGAGGCAAAGCGGGGTTTGGGGTGGAGGCTCACAGCTCGTGACCCCCCCATGTAGTAACCTCACGACCCCCTGAGGGGTCCCGACCCCCAGTTTGAGAACATGGACCAATTAACATGCAACACGGTGCACTTTAGAAATCACATCTGCATTTCTCCTCTGTGTAGAGAGGCCCTTAGACAAAAGCTGTGTTGCCATGTTCTTAAGTACATCCATAAACATTGTGAATCGCTCTTCACACTTGTACTTAAATACTTTAAATACTCCGTACTTATTTGTATTACATACATGTTAAAGGCACTTAAAGCACAAAACTTTTTTTTATCTGCAAGTATTTTTTTCAAAATAGGTTTTTGAAACAATCACATCCCTCCTAACTGTCCTACAAGCACCCAGGGTGTGGAGTGGAGTGGAGTGAATACCATGAAGCTTGCCAAGCCTATGGATTTGGTACAGAATTTTCAAAGTCAAGAACCAAAAAAATACTGATTGGAAGAATTGAACCAGGATATGAACTGGAAGGATTCAGGACTGACGCCGAACAATATGAGCAACAATATTTTGGTAAATTAGCCTTAGAGCGCCTGCTAATTGAGATAAAAGTTTCATACATCTATAGCCCGGATCCCAGATGGCTGTTGTAATCACGTTTTAAACTACAATACCGAGCAGAAGGGAGAGAAGTGAAAAAGCAGCTCATACTGACACCCAGCTTACATCTCAAAATAACACTAAGCTGACTAGTGAGTGGTTAATGATTCATTTGTTTCATGTATGTGGAGACATTGGAAAGGGTCCAGAGAAGAGCAACAAGAATGATTAAAGGTCTTGAGAACATGACCTATGAAGGAAGGCTGAAAGAATTGGGTTTGTTTAGTTTGGAAAAGAGAAGACTGAGAGGGGACATGATAGCAGTTTTCAGGTATCTAAAAGGGTGTCATAAGGAGGAGGGAGAAAACTTGTTCACCTTAGCCTCTAAGGATAGAACAAGAAGCAATGGGCTTAAACTGCAGCAAGGGAGGTCTAGGTTGGACATTAGGAAAAAGTTCCTAACTGTCAGGGTGGTTAAACACTGGAATAAATTGCCTAGGGAGGTTGTGGAATCTCCATCTCTGGAGATATTTAAGAGTAGGTTAGATAAATGTCTATCAGGGATGGTCTAGACAGTATTTGGTCCTGCCATGCGGGCAGGGGACTGGACTCGATGACCTCTCGAGGTTCCTTCCAGTCCTAGAATCTATGAATCTATGAAAAATGAATCTATGTACAAATGTGGTATTACATATTGAGAGAGAAGATGCCTGTTTTATACAGCTTCTCTGAAAACAAACAACAACAAAACTGTCTTGTGTTACCATAACAATCATGAATTCTTGGATTTGTGACACTGTCATAAGGGTAGCATCTGTAGATGTGATAGTGAAGGAGAAAACTATTGAACTATGTTCTAAGTGGGGCTAAAGACAAGTGGTTTGTGATCAGTTTCCATATGTGCTTTTTTTCTCCCATAACTGTTGTCGCTATCTCCTTTTCAACCTGGACACAGCTTCTTTTTGCTGTGTTTAGGGGTTTTGAGGCAAATTCGACTTGCTGCCTTCCTGCAAAGAGACACATGTGGGCCTTCAAAGGTTGCAGCAATTGGCAGTAAAACTGATTTGCTGCAATGATATTTAGAAACTGCTCTTTGTCTACACTTACAGCTAAACCATGGCTAGCACTGATTCAGCTAAACCAGTTGCTGAAAGCCAATTGCTGAAAGGTTACTATTTGGTAACAGAGAAATGCCTGAAGTTGTTCATTGTGATCCTTAAGGCCTTGATTCAGGGCCTGGCTACACTTGCAAGTTAGAGCGCATTAAAGCAGCCCCGAGCGCCCTAACTCCCGATGTGTCCACATGGGCAAGGCACGTAGAGCTCCTGGACTCTGCAGCTGGAGCGCTCCTGGTAATCCACCTCCACGAGAAGCATAAAGCTTGCTGCACACCGGCTGAAACACCCGGGCGTCAGTGTGGATGAGGTGTTGCATTACTGCGCTGTGATTGGCCTCCGGAAACATCCCATAATCCCCTGAAGTCAAGTGGCCAGTCTTGTCATTGTTTTGAAATCGGCTGCAGGCATGCAGATATCCCCTTTCAAAGCTCCGTTTCTGACAGCCGGCTCCTTATCTGCTCCGGGACAAAGCAAACCATTAGTGTGGAATGCTGCTGTTGTGAGTGTGGGGGGGAGGGAAGGGAGTCTGCTGCTGTCTGAACTTACAAGACAGCATGCTGACACACTCTCTGCCCCCCAAAACACACTGTCTCTCCCCACACATACACACAACACACTCCCTGTCACACTCCACCCCCTCCCATTTGAAAAGCATGTTGCAGCCACTTGCATGCTGGGATAGCTACCACAATGCACTGCTCTTTGTGGCATTGCAAGAGCTGCTAATATGGCCACGCCAGTGCGCTTGCAGCTGACAGTGTAAACTGCTGCTGCGGTCTCCGAAGGCTGGTTTAACTCCAGTGCTCTACATCTGCAAGTGTAGCCATGCTCTCAGGAAAGCACTTAAGCAACGTTTTTGAATTGGGATGTTTTCTTGGATCCAGGCCTTATATTTTTATCCCACTGTGACGCGTGGCTAGAAAGGGTTAAACATCCTGCAGAATAAATTACCCTCAAAAGACATGTGGGGAGATAACGTTTGTGTTTTTGTGTATTTACATCAATGTAATCAACAGTCCTTGTCTACGGTGTATTCTGATAATTCAGAGGTCAAAAGAAATCCTAGCATTTAAATGAATTGTATATACAGGATATCTCTGTATTCATCTCTCTTTGAAATGTATAGCAAATAATCTGTGAATGGTGGAGGAACAAGCAAATGGCCTTACATTAATTCTATAGCTAAGTACCGGAGATGGACCTCCTTCAAAGTCAGGCTAATTACCTTTTGTTCCCGAAGGAACTCCGACTTGTCAAAAAGACATGAAATTGTATAAAAGATCCTTGGATCCTGATTCTGTCATCTCAGATCTGCTTAGGCTTCATCAGGGGAAGTTTGAGTCACCAGACTGAGGTCCCAGTTATGCTGGTATGGCTTGAATATGATATTTGGACATTGGACTATAAACTATGAACTATTTCTGAAAGAACTACAAAGCTCACCATCTCTGCTATGAATCTGCACCTCAATGAATTGAGCTCATGTCTGTATGTATATTGATCTTTTAACCATAGTCTCTCTCTTTTGTTTCTTAATAAATTTTAGTTTAGCTAATAAGAATTGGGTGTAGCACATATTTGGGTAAGATCTGAAACATTCATTACTGGGGAGGTAATGTGTCCAGTCCTTTGGGATTGGTAGAACCTTTTCTTTTATATAAGATTTACAGAAATTTTCATCATATTTGACGTGGGTACTTGGATGGAGGCCTGAGGCGGGTCTCTTTACAGGAACTGTGTTGTTTGGACTTCTGAGTAACCCGTAAGGTAATAAAGAAGCTGTTTGATGCTGGCTTAGTGAATCTAAGTATTGGAATATCCACCAGCTTTATGGGGATTGTCTGCCCCATTCTTTGCAGTTCACCCTAATTGAGTGACCACAGCTGTCTCCCCACTAGGACCCCTGGTCACAGTGGCGTAGTCGTGCTTGGATGCACATTACCACAGGTTAATTGGGTCTTTGGATCAGAACCACACGCGTGGTTTAAGGGTTTAAAAGTCAGTTTAAAAGAGTTTAAGGGTTAAAAGTCAGTTACAGTGAGGGACCCACGATCAAGATCCTGACAGAAAAAGCCTGGAAGAATTGTGCTTAGGAGAGGGTTGTATTTTAAGCAAAAGGCCCCAGAACAGGAACTGAAAAATCTGTTAATTGCCAGTGATAAGGAAGCAGACCCAGCAAAAACGCTTGCAGGGAGAAATCAGCAGCTAGAACTTGAATAAAAGCAAAACATAGCTGATATGGAAGGAGAAGCTGCTGAAAGAGAATGCCTGTGTTTTGAACAGGAACAAAAAATGGCATATTTTCAACTGCAGGAACTCGAAGCTAAGGCAAAAGTGGACAGACTTAAGCTCCAACTCAAGAGAATAAAAGAACAATAGGAACTGTATCATCCTGGAAAGCCAGCTCCTCTCAACAACAAAGATGGGGATAGAATCTATCCAGTTTGTAACAATGTTAGTATGTTGTTTGACTCTAAGCAGTTGTCTGTGTGTAACCAAATTTACCCCAACACTGCCACCTTTTATGTAAATGCTTTTAACGTGAGCTCAGGTGACGGTAACCCCATAACTTGTGCAGAGAATGTAAAAGTCAATGGTAAAAGCTGTTTGGGGCAAATTACAGCTTCTAACATCACTCTTGTTAAAACAGATTTTGTCAAAGAAGAAGATTATTTACCAAATCAGAGTATGAATATTGTAATCCTCTACGAGTTTACTGTAAGTGTGCCTTTAGCCAGAATCTATCTCGATTGGAATGGTGTTAAACATGAAGTTATAGCTGGTGTAAGGAAGTTATTGCCTAAGGATCTTTTGATTGGGGATGATATTAAAGCTTTGTTCAGTCAGGTTGACATAAGTCACAGGAAAGAAATAATCCTGAATCTGTGTCTACTAGGGGCAAGGATTTGCCTATGGAGGGTTTCTCCGAATGTTTGTATGAGGAAGGTAGCTGTGTATCTGTGCAAAGTAGTACTGCATACATGGAAAAAAATCCTAATTGTCTGTCTGGTATCTCAGAAGTGAATCAGGCATTAGATAAGGCGCAGGAAGATGTTTCTCTAGAGCAAATTAAAATTGGGGATCAGGTTAAAGCCCTAACTGAGGAAGGAAGGGATAGTCTTGGTAAGTGATAAATTGTTGGCTAGTAAAGCTTGGGAAAGTCAGCCTGACCCAGGTAAAAGTGATGTGCTTAAAGTAGCTCAGTGTAATAAGGCACTATTTGTGGAAAACAGCAGTTTATCTGTTAAGGGAGGGGAAGGCAAAGAAAGTTTAGATGAGCATAGGCTGCCTTCTGAGCTGATGGCTTTGTCTAATCAGCAGTTTGGGAAGGCAAGGTTAGTGGAACATGAGTATCCCTACACCTTACCTGTTACCGGTGTGGAGAATTGTGACAGAGAAGGAAATGTTCCTGTGTCTGTTAGAGGTAATGACTTGCCCCTGAAGGGAGCTACCCCAATCTCCAAGCAGTTGTCTGTGAATAGCCGTGTGTGCTGCCACAAAGGAAAGGATATCCCAGGCTGTTTGTCTGTTAAAGGGGAATGTTTCTCCAGCTCTTTTCTGTCTGTAAAGCAGACAGAAGAAGCCTGTCAGCCTATGATGGTTGAAAATTTATCAGTTGACCCAGAGTTGATTCTGGATACAACTAAAGCCCAGGAAGGAAGTGGTCCTGAATTT